ATGTGTGTGTGTGTATGTATATATATGTATATCGCCACTTTTAAACTGGGTAAACTGTAGGACAGATGAAGTAGATTTTAACTATTTACGTGGCTCTGGAATGCACAATGTGCAGTTGCCTTTCCTCGACCCAAATCGGTCCGTGTTGTAGATCGGCCAGCCTACCACACAAACCAACGTGACCTCTTAAAGTGTCATGAAAATTATGAAGCTTTTAAATTGAACGGTTTTCCTGGTCAGTGATGAACTGGAACGCCGGCGAGACGCTGGAAAAGATTCCGATGGTGCGCCAGAAACTTTGTGGACAATTTAGAAAATTAAATTTAAACAGGACCGCTTTTTATCTCCCCACCCCCCTTCCCTCATGCCGCTTGAATAATCCAACCAAAGTCCGTTTCATATAGATATGTTGTTTTCTTTATTGCGAAATATAGTTCCACTCCTTCATTTACTTTCTGCCTTTGATCGTGTAAGTCACACGTAGAAAGCACTCGACTCAATGAAAAACACTGCAAGGGAAAGTCATTTCCGTTTATAACGCTTGCGCAATGATAGCAGGCCTATTGTTAATACACACCGCGTTTATTCACAAACGTCATTCATAAAAATTAATTCAAGACTAAATAACTTAGTCATAATATATATATATATATATATATATATATATATATATATATATATATATATATATATATATATATATATATATATAGAGAGAGAGAGAGAGAGAGAGAGAGAGAGAGGTAATTCTCCATGTATATATGCATTATATCAGTCGCTCCTTCTCCCTTCCCACACTACCTCTCCCTACTGTGTGGGCATGAATGTGCCAACTATTAAATATTTTTATCTCGTACTGTGAACATTCATTGCTCTAACTCCAACTACATTCACGTGGTTCCCGTCTTGTCGCCTGTCTAGTGAGTACATGAAATTATTTATTTTTTTCCATTTAAGGTGAAATTTTTATGTCTGTCAGATAAACTCTACTTCATCTGAATTATAGACTAGTAGGTGTGGATAGGGTACGATTGTAATTTGTGTAGTTAAATTACATTATAATTTACTTAATTGTTGTATATTGCCTACACTCGGGGGGGGGGGGGGGGGGGGACTTGCAAATGACTTAGCAGGTTTTTTCAAGTGCCATCAAATAATGTTAAAAAAAAAATTGTGTAGAAAAATGTTTAAAAATAGGGATTGTAAACAAAACAAAAAAAGGATATTAATACAATCCTTTGTTGCACGATTCTTTTTGTTAGTTTTAACTTCAATATCGGCTTAACTTATTTCACACATCGACACGATACGCTCAGTATTTCTTCCAGGCATTTTCGGAGCCCCCCCCCCCCCCCCCGAACGAAATGGAATTTATCTAGTAAATATATACTTTGCCATCCCCCCCCCCCTCGGAAATTTTAGTCCACCCCCCTCCCTGAAACTTTCCGTGTCCCCCCTTCCCGAAAAGGTCTGAAAGAAATACTGGATACGCCGTGCTATTGTGGCTTAAAATTAATTTAAGAAGGAATGGGTTTGAAAGGGAAACAACTGTGTATATTCAAATCCTAATAATATTTCCTTGTTTACTTCCCTTATTTCATCAAATTTAGAAAAGGATAGGTAACTTATTGAAAACGTAAATAGGTATTTTTATCAAATGTCCAACAGCTAGGTAGTAACCATAACAAAAGTAGTGCAAATCCTTTTTTTTTACTTAAAAAATATATACACATAATATATGTACAAAAGAATTAAATCTCTACATCTAATTGCTTAATGTTTACGTCGATTACGTCTAGGCTCGAAGACTTAGTCTAGGTCAGTAATTTTTGGTCGATGCACGGGTGGTACTGCTTTTTCTCGGGTGAGGGGGGGGGGGAGGTGGTAGTATTGTTTGTATTCTTTAAACTTATTCATAATTCGGTCGTTCAACGGAAAGGGGTTTAGTGAAATGAAAAGTTGTTAGTAAAGTTGTTGGTAAATTTGTTAGTAAAGTTGTTGGTACATTTGTTAGCAAAGTTGATAGTAAAGTTGATGGTGGAGTTGTGAGTAAAGTTTTGAGTAAAGTTATTTGTAAAGTTGTTAGCAAAGTTGTGAGTAAAGTTGTTTGTAAAGTTGTTGGTTAATTTGTTAGTAAAGTTGTGAGTAAAGTTGTTTGTAAAGTTGTTTGTAAAGTTGTTGGTTAATTTGTTAGTAAAGTTGTGAGTAAAGTTGTTGGTGGAGTTGTGAGTAAAGTTAAGAGTAAGTTGTGAGTAAAGTTGCTAGTAAAGTGTTGTTAGTAAAGTTGTTGGTAAAGTTGTTGGTAAAGTTGTTGGTAAAGTTATTAGTAAAGTGCTGTTAGTAAAGTTGTTAGTAAAGTTGTTAGGAATGAAAGCTAAAATAAAAATTCTCAAAATGTAGGACTCCTTTTCTGTGCCTCATAATCAGGTAAAATGTAAAGTAGTAAAGTTCCCTGAGGGTCATTGGGGCAAGTGGAGTAGAGTTCACCTGTTTCTATGACCTAACTTCCCCTAACGTGAGTCAGGTACCCACCAGAGCTGGGTGGACTCAGGGACGCTTTACTGACTTGAACCCAACTAAATCAGGTGTTGAACATAATCTTCTTTGCGACACATAAGGCTACTCGGATGACATATTGTACAATAAGTACAATTACATTATAAGTTTCTACTCAATTTTACATTTTATGCTTGTGGATCAACCAGCATACATAGAAAGAAAGGGACCCTTTTAAGTCGAAGCCATTTTGTCAACAACTACCGATCCGATTAGCATCTAAATATACATCAACAATGTCTAAATTATTTAAATTTTTAAAAAAACTTTGCCTCACAGCGAAGCCAGCTTTCTTTCATTACGGGTACATTTTATCACTGGTTTTAGAGCCCCTGTTCTGATTCCCATTTCAGCCTGCATCAACATTTCTTTTTTTGTCATTTCATCCGTGTGACATTCCTCACCTAGGGAGGACCACCTTATTGTTTTCCCCATCACCTCATCCCGATCACATGTCTACAAATAGCCCAAAGAGCTTAAAATTCCGCGGTTTAAAAATAAAACCCACACAATTGGCGGAACACTCAAACGTATTTAGCCTAAGTCACGTCATTACTGTGTCAACGGGAAAATCCGTTGCTTTATTTGCTAAAGGACTAAGTCTTTGAATACTAATAAAAATATCTCGCACTAGCAAGTGAACTCAAAAGCGAAGTTCAACCTTAATGTTTTGAGTAGGATGGGAGGGGGGGTCTAAAATATGTATTTGGAGGAAAGGGGGCTAGGTATCCATGCACTTTCTGTGATGCGCCTATAGCTATTAAAAACGTTATTATATAATATAACAAAATTAATAGACAAAATAACACTTACAAATATGCATACTATTGTGCATATTTCGACAATTTTCTAAAATATTTACATTTTTTTTTGGGATGCTTGGCCTCCTCTCGTCATCCCCTAGATCGACTTAGGGTGTACTTAGAAATTTTACTAAGTAGCGGAGGGTGGTCGAATGACAGCTCTCTGAAATATAAACCCAAGGGGTCAAAGTTTGGTCCCTTTTTACAAAAGCTTCTCGTGGTTTTTCTCTGCGATTCATAATTGTGGAAAATACGACTTAGATCACCAAAAAAGCTCGATTTACCGATATACCCATGTATTCTTATTCTCGAAATATACTTTTTCTAGGCAGGGTTTCTTTCAGACATTTGGGGGGGGGGGGTACTTAAAACTTTGAAAGGGGGGGGGGGGGGGGAGGAGTCACTAGAAACCTCGAAGGGAATGGGGGTGGGGGTTCATTTAAAATTTTTAGGGGAAAGAGCACATTAAAGTATGCTACATATTTTCTAATTAAATTATGAATTTTTTTTTGTATTTTATCCGGGAGGGTGGTGGTGGACGTGCTCCCCCCCCCCCCCCCCCCCCCCCCCCCCATCATGTTTCCAGGCGGTATCCTGACATAACTATAGAAAAATGAAAAGAGTACTGTTACATGTATATGCAGTGTATAAACACGAATGGTTTTTATTTTAGCCCGATTTGTAATGTTTTAGTAAGACGAAATCAACGGCGTTTATTATAGAGGAGTTTAAGTTCTGTGTAAACAACTTATGTTTCAGACAAATGCGTGCTTTGGTTTTTTTTTTTTAACATAGGCTACATTGCTTTCAATTTACATTAAAAAAAAATACAAACTACTAAAAGAAATCTTTTTGTCCCAGTCACGTCATTACAGTGTGTTTATTTTTGTTATTTTTTTCTCCATTTCATTTTTGTTAAAAAATTCATAAAAAACGTTTTAATAACAAGCTTTTATGTAATGATGCACTAAAAAGTAGAAAATAAATTATAGACTACTATTTAAATAACTATAAAGAAAAGCGTGGGTCACTTTAGTATCTATTGGATACCTTTACTAATGTTAAGGAAGACACCCACGCTTTTCTTTATAGTTATTTAAATAGTAGTCTATAATTTATTTTCTACTTTTTAGTGCATCATTACATAAAAGCTTGTTATTAAAACGTTTTTTATGAATTTTTTTTTCAGTACTTTACATGTTTTATTTACAATAGAGTTACATGACTAAAAACCATTGCGCGCCTACTGAACATCACGTTCAGTAGGCGCGCAATGGTTTTTGAACGCAGCCATTACGTGATGGCGCAGCTATTGAAGGTGATGACGCGTGTGGTGTGGTTGGCTAGACATGCCTACTAATTCGGTCCAAATTTTAATTAATTCATTAAAAATCAATTAGGCATCCAATTAAGTCAAATTTAGTTTCAGATTGCATTGTCTTCATGTCTTGACCCACGTGCCAAATGTGAATCGTATCGGTCAAGTAGAAGTTTCCGAATTTTCACTCCTGCGTTTCCGTCTAGACTGACGACAGAGGAAGCGAGTTAAATAAAAGCTTGTAAAAATACTAACGAACTGTATTGTTTACACTCTTTTGTTACCATCACGTGACAGTTTTTTTTCTCTTCTTTTCCTTGCAGCTACGCGGGAGGATGGCCGGTGTTTTCCGGCGAGTTTCCGCACTCTTTTCAAGATCGTCCGGTCGGCGAAAATACCGCGAGGACAGAGACACGAGGGCGGAGAAGAAAGAGCGAAAGAAGAACGGCAAGCTGAGGAAGAAGAAAAAGAGGAACCCGGACGAACTGGAGGAGGAACGGATGGGCGCGTCGTCCGGGTTATCGGGTGACACGGACGATTTGTCCGATTCGGGAGTGAGCGAAAGCGTCAGCCCGTCACAACACGGGTCGAAACGAAAAAAGGATAAAAATAAACTGACCGAGGACGGAGATAGCCAGTCGAAAGAGGACGCAAGGGTTAAGTCGCTGAATGAAAAAAATATCGGACGCGCGGGAAAAAATTCACCCGCCACAAGCGGGGCCGGCGAGACGTTACGTCACGGCGAGCGTCTAGCCAACGGCGCGCGCGAAGCCGATGAACCGGAAATGATCAGCGAAGAGCGGAAGCAACAACACTCGGCTCTCGTTCACGCAGACGACACCGACAACGATAGCGAGGAAGATGATTATTATGATGATGATGACGATCAGATAAACGGATGTATCGTTGATGGTGTTAAAATCGAAAACAATGACGACGCTTCGCCCATAATGGGGAAAAAGAATCGGATCAAGAACAAACGAAAACAGGAGAGCCGGAATAAGGAAAAAAATAAAGATGCGGCGAAATCAAAGGACGGGCTATCGAATTCCGGATTCACCAACGACGATGCGGCTTTGGTGAAGGAAGACGTGTCGGAGAGCCAGCAGTCCCCGACGTCTGAGATTAACGGATTATCGTCGTCTGTGGATTCCTTAACGTCGAATTCGGGATCGTCGATTGAAAACGCTTTGGAAAATTCTGAAGCTGGAGGAGAGGATGCATCAAAGGGGAAAGAGAAGAAAGGTAAGTGTTGTGTTTAGTTAAGTTTAGTATGATTCTCTTTCATAGAGCATACCTCTGTTACGCATCGCTAGTTTCGCTAACAACCATATTTCAGGACTTATCTAATATAATACATCTTAGTCTATCTCTATAAGTTTAAAGAGTTAGCCCTAAGCCCAACAACTAACTTTAATTAAGCTTAGCACTGACTCCTAGTAAAGTTACACTTTTCGACCTGGAGGAGTATGAAGTAGAGTTACAGCTGTTTCTGTGACCTCGATGTATACATAATATATGGATAGTGTGGTCAGTTCAATGACCAGTCGCATTCACTTTAAGGCGGGTACCCATCAGTCAGGTACCCTTCAATTTAATCCGTCCGGTCTAACGTAAATATTGATTAAACATTAACGCCCCACCCCCACACCCACCCACTTTAAAGTAAAGTTCCCTTTTCGAACCTCAAGATCCATGGGGCAAGTAAAGTTTATGTGGCATATGACAGAATAGTGTAGTCAGCACTATGCCCAGCCGCCTTTACTTTCCCTAACCAGAGTCAGGTACCCATCAGAGCTGGGTGGACTCAGGGTGACTTGAACCCGGATTCGATGCTTTAGGGTTGGCAATCTGTGCTCTGCAGCTATGCCACCCCGTTCCACCTACACACTATGCAATCGTTCACAATCAATCGTTTACCTGTTAATCGAGTTAAAGTAGAGATACTCTCAAAATAAAACCCATAAATTGGCAATACCGTAGCATCGATCTTCAAATTTCATTCTTTAAGATCATCCATTATTGAACCACTAAATAATATGACCACATATAATAAACAACCTGCCATTATTATGTTCTTTAGAACATCACGCTTAGGCTAATGATCACAGAACACTGCTGCTAAAAAAAAAGTGTCAACTATAAACACTAATCAAACATTACCTCCCCTTCAAAGTTTCTAAATTTAACACATTCCTCGCACCCAGAAAGCCAAACAAACTGATAGTAGTTCAAACATGCTAGAGATGGGGGATATCATTTCCTGCTTAGTGTTGGGTGGGGGTAGGGTGGGTGGGGGGGGGGGGGCAAAAGAACACGAACAACAATACAGAATTTTATTTACTTTGACCCCTCTATTGTAATGGAATGTGAAGGACGTTGACCAATGTTAATGATATATTTTATTAAGGCAGGGTTGGATACGGGCATCAGATATTTGTTTTTGTAAGCAAGTTGTGAAGGGGGGAGGAGAGTTAAGATTCGTTCCAAAGTATTACCGCCGACCCCCCCATTAGGGCTGGTAAGTAGGTCACCAACCAGTTCTATGGCTCATGCAGGTTTTATTGAGCCGTAGAACTGGTTGGTGACCTACTTACCAGCCCTATTCGAAAGATCCTGGTGCCAACCCCTATACACAACCCCTTTTTACTGTCCCTGGTTGACACGTCCTGTTAACTTTTTATATCCTCTGTTAACACCCGACCCCAACCCCTTTAGACGAATCTCAGTTAACAACCGCTAGTACTGTTAACACATCCTATCGATTGCCACTGTTAACTATAACTGTTAGCAGCCGATTTAAGGGACTAGGTTCCGGAAAATAAAACCCACTTTAATTAATAAACTGTGTTATTTATTTCTATGTATGCTTTAAGGAAAACATATTTTCATGTATCAGGGACTCCTAAAAAATATGGTTACTATGGCAATTTTTTTCCCTTAACAAAATCCCATTCATCCATGTAATGACCACAAAAAAATGTGGAAAAAAGTAATTTCAATTTTGATGTTAAAAAAGGATATGCGTTAATAATAATACAGAAGTAATTTTTTTTTTAACTTTTGTAAAAAATTTTATGGTGTTTTTTTTTTTTTTTTTTTTTTTTTTTTTTTTTTTTTTTTTAAATTTATTATTATTATTTTTTTTTTTTACAAGTGCCCGAAAGCAGCATACCTACTCAATATTTACACTAAATATTCCACTGCCTAAAAAACGGCGATTCCAGCAAAACGTATTACAACTACACACATCGTGTAGTTTCAGTTGATACTGCCGACTGCCTACCCCAACAAACCTTGCATGTGTTCCAATTGTTCCCACCTAATAACCACAAACGAAGTTATTTAGCCCATTATCTTACATCACTTTTTTTAAAAGCCTGAACACAATGGCTATTGTTAGTCAGCAAACCTTACACCATCTTCCTTTTTACCTACCCTACCCCCCCCCCCCCCCCCTGCTACCCCCACTGAACAGTTCTCGCAGTAAATCTCTTCTAACAACGCTTTTATCACGATTTGCCTTGTTCGCGTGGGGCATGTTTCTCTCTGTTTTACTGTTTAAACAAACAGAGGTTTAATTAACATTCGCATATAGGGTGTACAGATTAACGTGCTTGTAAAAATGTCAGTAGTTCGTAACGAAACAGGTTCTGCTAGTATTGCTACCGTGAACTGTAAAAACGTGTTTTGGCTTATCACTCATTCTAAACACTTAAACTAATACCGACTGACCCTAACCCTCACCCTAAACCCTTTAAGAAAACCAACCCTGACCCCAACCCCAACCATAAACCCTAAAACTAACACCAGCCCTCGAACGCAACCCTCACCCTAACCCCTTAAACTAACACCAACCCTGACACTAACCCCAAACATAAGCCCTAAAACTAACATCAACCCTATACACCAACCCTCACCCTAAAACTAATAGTGACCCTGGCCCTGATTTAAAAAAACCCGAAACTTAAACAGACCCTGACCACAACCCTCGCCATAAACCCTAATACTAATACCAACTCCCACCCCAACCATTACCTAAACTTATACCGACCCTAAGCCCAACCCTCACCCTAAACCCTTTAACTAATACCAACCCTGACCCTAAATCTCACCCAAAACCCATTAAGAAAAGCAACCCTGAGCCCAACCCTCACCCTGAACCCTTTAACTAATACAAACCTTGACCCCAACCCCAACCCTCACCCAAAATCCTTTATCTAATAGCAACCCTGACCCCAACCCCGAACCCTAGTTTGATCAACGTATTTGGACACCGCTTCCCTAACAGTTCATAGCTTTTATATAGTAACATTTTTTTTTTCAAAATCAATTTTCTCGTTTTTCCAGGGTGCCCTATTTTTTTTCCCAAGTCTCGTTACATAATAGATCACAGCGTGTCACCTTGACCTATTTTACACAATTTTGACATTGGCCACAACGCCCACCCATATATTACAACAACAACAAAAAAAAAACACCTCGCTTCCATCAACCTCTATCAATTAATCATATTTTTTTTTACCTGTTCCGTTTCCGTTTGATACAACGGCCGACAACCGACCAATCAATTACTCAATTTTCTCCCCTCGTAACATCCTCGGTTCTGTCTTGTTCTGAGCGAAGGATGACATTTTATTACAGCGTGCACGGCAGTTGCTGTCCTGTCTGTCTGTCTGCTAGTCAGTGGAGCCTAAATTATGACCATGACACTGGTTCTCAAACGGTTATAAGACTCTTCTTATTTAAATATATATATATGCCCTTCTTGTGATCCGCTCATTTTCACAAAGATACAAAATCGAATATTTTATATAAAATATGTATCCTAATAATTACACAAATTTCCTTTAAAAAATTAACCATTGAATATTGAGGGCCAACGTTTTTTGAAAAACTTTTTCTAAAATTGTACTTGGTGTGTGTGTGTGTGTGTGTGTGTGCTAATAGGATTATGCAACATTTTAATGGGTACCAACAGTCTAAAAGCTAGATCGATCGTATGTATGCGATTTGATTTAGAGTATAATTTTGCCTTTACTGTATTTTAAAAATAACTTATTGAATTCTCTTTTTAAAAATCTGCAAAGCGAATATCGAGCACTGAAAAAGAGATGGACCCAGTAAATTAATAAAATGTATTGCGATAATCCAGCGTCTCTAATAAGAAATATGGTGTTTTATTTTTTACTTCAATTTGTATTTAAATTGGTCGAAATGAAAATTCTAGAATTGAAAACAAACAGAACACAATAGCTAACTTAGAAGTACAACATTAGTGATTATTTTATTTGTTACTCCACAAATCCCTCGTCACAATAGTAGAGCAAAACCCCTCACTCACACAACAATACACACACACAAACTTATCTACATCAAACATTCTGCTGCCCTCGCCTTGTAAATGTGTACACGATCTATGCATACCATCTCTACTGTCGTGTAGCGAGGTTTGAGTACAGATAGCTTCATGCTGCGACTCTTGATCGTACTCGCACCCACACCTGTTGCCGTTTTACACCTGAGCTACCAGGTGTTTGAAACTAATTAATAAATCTACAGGTATCTCATTAAAAAAATATGATTTATTTTCTCATTTTTCCTTTGACAAAAAAAAAACCGTGCTTATCTGTTATCAGTTCTAACACACACACAAAATTGAGCCAATGGAACTGTAACATTTTTAAAGGCTACACAATACATTTCAAATCCGTATCGTTTATGGGATATCTAATTACTGTATTTGATTCAAGCTATTATGTCAACTGCACCGTGAAATAAACAAATTGTAGTAATCAATGCGTGCAGCAAAAAAAAAAAAAAAAAAAAAAAAAAAAAAGATAAAAAAATTACCCCGACTAAAAGGAGAACGGAAACATATTTTTTTCGAAAAAACATGCTGCATTGTGCCTCGGCCTTTCGTCAGTAACCTTTTTTTGACATGAGTTCTCAGTGAGGGACCGTTTTGTTAATGGTCCTTTTGCCGGGGCACTTCCAGCAAATTACCGCCAAATTTAAATTTGTGTGGTTTTTTAACATGTCAATAGACTTCACAATCAAAAATTGTCACGTTTCTGAATAGAAAAGTGAATTATCTCCGCATGCAATCGAATACAGAGAAATGTGAGTAAAAACACCATCTTAAAGGGACGTAATGCAACACCGCTACGCTGTTGTTTAATTGAACGGAAATCACGACTTATCTAGCTATTATCTACGACTATTTTATAGTATCGTTTTACCAT